GGGGGGTGTTCCCCAGCGGCCGATTGCTGACCGCGGGAGTACCCCAGTTGCCGATCGCTGACTGGGGGGGGTGTTCCCCAATGGCCGATTGCTGCCGCTGGCAAAATTGCCATCAGCAAAACAAGAAGTGCTGGCGCAAATGTGAATGTGTCTCTGGCACTTCTCTCAGGGGGGTCATGAACAGTTTCAGGGGTTGCACATGCACCTGCATGTACCCCCTGTGCATCGCCAATGAACTAAGCTGCCCCCTCCAGCTGTGTCAGCTAGCTCGGGGGGGAGGGTTTTATGTGGGCACAGGAGAAGGGTTAGGAGCAGCACTCAGTGAAATGCATGGGTTGTCTGTTCTGAAAAACACACCCGGAAGGGCTGCATGTGGACTTAGAAGCTGTAAGGGGGCCAGCCGGGGTCTCGTGGGATGAACATTTCTGTGGGGGTGAGGCCAGAAAGAGGCACTGCTCTATGAGGTAGCACCCTGGCTAATGCACACTGTGTGTCATAGACCCCCAGAGCCGTGTCTGCCTCAGGAGAGCTGGAAGCCAAGAAGATGAGACCTATATCAATGCCAACTACATCACAGTGAGTATCATGCCCACCCTGAGACCTGTGGAAACAAAGCCCTCCATGTGCCTGCAATTTTCAGCTCTGGGGCTGCAACCACTACAGCCTGACCTATGGGGCAAAGGGCTGGGTGATCTGCCAGGAGCCTCTAGGTTCTGTGGAGCACTGTGGTCACCTCTGAGCCAGGCCTGATCCCATGTACCAAGGGGCAATGTGCTACTCAGAGTACAGCCTCTTCCAGTCAGTGTTGCACAGCAACTCTGTGACAAACTTGGGACCAAACCTCGGGCCCTCTATAAGCACTTCACTTACCTGTCAGGGGCCAGAGCCTGCATTCCCACCAGTGCCCTGGCCCAGGTAGCACAAACCCAATCAGAGCTGTAAGCTCCAGCACTTGGAAACTACCGACGGGAAGAGAACAGCACCCCCCTGCCCCGACCAGGGCTGAATCACATCCCTTGTGTTGCTCAGGAAGCACGAAGATCTGGTTTTTAAGCCAGCCTCCTGCATTTGGGGACTAGCTTGTAATTTCTCCAAACCAGGGGTGGCAGTGGTGGATGGCTCATGCAGCTGAGCCATTACTCGCCACTGTTAACCCAAACCTGCCTCACAACAGCCAGCAAAGTGGTGTGGCCTAGTTGGGGGAGCACTAGCACAAACACAAGAGATCTGAGCTCTGATCCTGGTTCTGCAACTGGCCTGCTGGGCAAGTCACTTCCCACCCTGTGCCTCAGTTTACACATCTGTAAAATATGGATAATGATGCTGACTGCCTGGGTCGTCCTGGAGAGGTTGGGATGAGAAGTGTACCATAGGAGAGGTGCACCCCGAGCCCTAGCCCCTCTGGTGGCACCGGCCCAGGCAGGTGCAGTCTTGGATGAGGTTTTTCAGGGACATGGCAAGCAACTCTCCAGGGCCGCAGGCCTCAAAGCAAGCACAACCTTGGGCTCCTTCTGCCCAGGAATCCCCAGCTTGAATTCAGTCCGGCTGTGCAGGGAATGACACACGTCATCCTGGGTGTAACAAGTTGGTGGGTCTAAGTCCATGCTGTAGTAATCATCGGGTTCAATAAACATAGGCACATACAATGAAGGAGAGGAACTAAACAACAAACTTTATTTGCGGAGCAGGAGGCAACCTCTGCAGACTCTTTGTCTGTAACTGACTAACTACCCAGCTGAGGGACCATTCCCCAATTAATCACTCCCTCCGTCTTCTTAGTGAAGGAGCATCTTTAAATTACAACTTGTATCCCCACACACACCTCTGTGATTACATCCCTACAGCAGCCAGTGCCAGGGCTGCACCCCTGGCAGCAGAAGGCAGTGTTTGCCAGCCGGCAGGAGCTAGGGGCCAGGACTCTGCTGTGGAAGCCAGGGGCTTCCTACCCTGTGGGCACACAGCGCAGCACCGTGCCCACCATGGGGACCTGCTTGGAGGGCATTGTGGGAAGAAGCCCTGGTGCAAACCTCACTCCCTAACTACCTTGTTAGTAACGCTCTCTGGTGGTGAGAGGCAGAATTGCACCTTTCTGGCTCCATTTGAACTTTTGAGCTAACATTTGCAAACAAAGCCCAGGGATTGTGTTGGCATGGAGAATAGGAGTACTCTGTCATTC